TCGAAAATTTGTCATGACGAAGATGAAAGAATTATGATTTGATCGTCCATTTGAATTTTAATTCACCTGCACTGATCCACGAGTCAACAGAATATTTTATGAATTTGGGGTTTACCGATCTAACTCGATTTTTCTTCGTTATACAATAATAGAAAGTAAAAGAACAGATCATTTACTTTTTATATTGCCACATCCTTTGACATTTTTGTGTAGCCATCAAAGCTGTAGAAAAATTCAAATGATAAATTTTTTTTATACAATTACTTTTTGTGGATAGAATAATAATTTCCATTCATTAACCACAAGTTTGAACAAACATGGGTTCAGCTTCTTAACATTAAAGAGCCCGAAAAGGGCTTGAAGAGTATATAAAATCCAATTAGAGGGGAAACTACGATGAGCTTTGGCAACCTAGTCTGCCACCCTATTTGTTTCTCGGTTACAATGGACCACTTTAAGGTCAGTAAACAATCTTAACTAGGCTTGGACTTCTTTGATAAGCAAGTGCACCTCCCACTGATCTGCGGTGAGGAGGCTTCTTATCATATCAAAGTGATCTGTGTGCAACTCTAGCTTAGGTTCGTGTCGAGATCTAAAGTGTAAACCTTTTATTAGGATGCTTTTGCCAACCTCAGGATGGTCTAGCTCCTTTCCCTGCATGTAGATTCACTATGGGGGACGTATAAACCTTTTAGTAGTTGACTCTAGGGAGCTTAGGGTTGTTGAGCTATTTTTCGGGCTTGTTTCCCCGACATAGCTTTGTTGAATGTTATCAAGCCCCTAAATCCCAATTCGCTATTGTCTTTCCTGGTTTTCAAAATGTCCCAATTTGTCCGATGTACTCCCACCTGTTTATCATTGTTTTTCCACCATAAGTTGGCTATTTTCTGTTCAATAGCACGACATAGGAATCCTGAAGATCGACATAGCATATTGAGGAATAGCTTGTACAACTACTTTAATAAGAACTTTCTATACTTTCGACCTCAACTTCCTTTTCCTGCTCTCAAGCTTCAAATCTACTCTCGCAAATAGCCAAGCAGCCATCTACTTTTCAAATCCTCCTAATCGGAAGGTATTTGATTTGGTGCTTTTTTCAAGGAGCTCTACTTTCTCTTCCTTCGAGATAGACCTTAGGAGTTTGAGGTTTTCGTACTTGGGACACGGTTTTAACATTTTCATTCCTACCCGATATCATTAGAGCAATTGATTGAGACGTCGTCAATTTTCCAATTTAAGAATTGAAAGTCATTTGTTCAAATCATACCAATTATAGTGCAAATCACGTTAGATCTGAGCCCGGGATAACCAATTCAGGGAACTTTCAAGGTATTCAGTAGACCTTCAAGTAGCCGAGCCTCCAAGGTCGGTTTAAGTGTTCTGTTCACAATATCTCTGGTGAGTATGAATTTCCAGTTTCTTTTACTGTTTCCATTTGATGGTCTGCGAACCTTGTACATTTCCAGCATTTCCGATGTCAGTTTACCTTTGCCGCATCTACATCTCCAGCAAGTTCGATTTCCGACGCTTAAGTTTCCTCGTAATTTACAGTACTTTACATTTCGTGGTATTCTAACCATTTATGATTTCAAGCAGTTTCACTTTGCTCTCCGGAAGAGGCATACCTTTAAACCCAAGTAACACTCAAACGAAATTCAAGTTTTGAACTGTTTTGGAACCAGAACATTTGTGTTCAACTTCAGGTTAGACTACGAAAGTAAATTTTCTATCACCCGAAATACGAATTTGAGTGAATTTTCCTAGATCAATAAACTAGTAGAGAAATGGGAAAATTATCAAAAAAGTCATAAACATACTGCAACTGTGCCAATTTAGTCCTAAACAAATTTTTTGTCAATTGAGTCCTAAACCTTTTTATATTTGTGTAGATTCAGTACACCCGATCAATTTTAGCAGGAAATCGCTGACGTAGACACCAGCCGCCCTACGTGACGCGGCTGGAGCTGACAAGGACCTCGCCGGCCAGAGGAAGAATGGAAAAAAACGAGAGAGAAAGAAAAAAATAATAAAATAAAAAATTCGAAAGTGAAAAATCTTTAGATTTCGATTTTTTATGAAAGGGATTTCTGTATTGATATTTGACGGAAATCGAATGGCTTTGCAAATAAATGCAGATTCTGGAATTTAAATCGCAAGAATGGTAAACTTGCATAACATAAATTGAAGGAAAATGTGTTCCGTTGATATTTGTGCTCTGAAGGTCCTTTGCAATGATTCGATGCGAGTATTTACAAAAGTTACAAGCATCTAGTTACACTTTAACTACGGTAACTGCTACACGTTTTTCGAGATGCGAGGCATGTGTTTCATACTCTGATAATCCATTCTCCGTAAACAGAAGTTACCACTTCCGAGACTATTTAGCTAACCGTCATTTGGTCCCGAAACCATTCTCGGGTATCGAAATGAACGTATCTACTTCGACCGGAGTCTAATGTATCTTTTCGTCTTTCAACTCCAGAACTCAACAAAAGTTCGCAGCTGGGCTGTCGACGACTTTTGTCGAACGATCTCCGTATTAGTTATCGATTCTGTCGAGACAATCTCCAAGTTGAACACCTCAATTACCGACGACTCCTCTTGTGACCAATCCTTGTCGTGGACGATCAAAGTTCGTTACTCGTCCACAATAAACGCCGGTCATTTTTTGGTGTAAACATTATATGTTGTGCTGGGCTCGTCCTAATGCCTAGTCTCAAACGAGCTGTGCCTCTGTCGCGTCGAGCGCCCTACGGGTCGCACCCGTCCCAAGCCCGCGGGATGGACCTGCACACGCCCAGCCTAGCGTTACACTTATTCTATTCACTTCCTATATATTCTCCATTTTGCAAGTTGAAGGCATGAAAGATTAAGCAGCATAATTATCATGAAATCATAGGATTATAGGATTGTTTTACAAGGCCCGTGCAGCTTTGGCATCATCCCACTGCATGGAATCATAGGATTGTTTCATGCCCTAAATTGTTCAACCTGTATTTTGAGGGCATCAAATTATTTTCCCGATAGCATACCAATCTATTTGTGATAGTCAAATTATAAAAACGGGATAAGTATACCGGAAGTCCTAAAACTTATCACGGAAGTGTAACTGAATCCTAAAACTTTCAAAAAGTCAATCGAGTCCTAAAACTTGTCAAGTTGGTACAATCGAGTCTTTCCATTAATTCCGTCCAACTTAACAAGTAGAAAATGCAAACAAGTTTTAGGACTTGATTGCACTTTTTGAAAGTTTTATGACTCAATTACACTTCCGTGATAAGTTTTAGGACTTTTAGTGCACTTATCCCTATAAAAATAGACCGCACCGCCCAACATAATGAAACCTCATCGTCGGCCCTTGTCACACGGCAATGCTACTGTTGCATTTCACACGTGTGTCCTCGCAGAAGCTTGGGTAACGAGTTAAGCTCAGCCCGACGCACCCGGTTCATCCGATCCATATGGATTGCTAGGTAGCTCCTCATCCTTCCTATTAGACTCAACGGAAATGAACCCGCCGCGCTCGAGAAATTGCCGCGTTCAAACCGATAACGGAAAAACGAAGATATGGGCGAACTTCTTCTCCATGGCGAAAGCTCGATTATCAACCAAGTCCCTCGCGGGAAAGATGCATCCGAAGGCTCAAATATAGAAAGCCTGAGATTTTCGAGAACGGAAACTGGTTGGGTTGCTGTTCGTACTCCCCATCGACACGAATCGCTACCGAGTATATATATATAACAACTTTCTCTTGAGCTGTAACCAGAGAGGTGGGATGTGCTAATTATATCGGAATCACGTGCTGGATGCAGCCCTTATTTAAGGGCGAACCGGGATACAATCTCGCGTTTCGATTTCTCCGACTTGTCTTTACTTTCTGTTTCGTTGTTGTCGTGCGACTAGCCCTGCTGGAAACGAGGACAATGTGGAGAGCTTGAGAGAGAGAGAGAGAGAGAGAGAGTGTGTGATGGTGATATCTCAATCACGTTGCTTCCTTCACATTACATTACATCCGGAGAGGGGACAGAGAGCAACGCTCCTCCTCAATGTCCTCCAGCCAAATTTCGTACCGCAGCCGAAACTCCTCCTCTTTTGTGTTTTCCGTTAAAAACGAAACGCGCATCGTCTCGAGCGACAACTTTCGGCAGCATGTGCCCCCCGGAAATATCCCGGAAACGGACAACAATGTAACTTGTTTTGTCCTCTCCGGATCTTCCTCCGCTTCACTTCGGACAAGGCTTTGATTCTAAAAATAAAAATAAAATAAACCCTCGGAATTCTAGATCATATCTCGATTCCGTTCCGAACCCCTTTTTTTTTATATCTAAAAAAATATCACCGACTTTCGCTATATGACCAACCCTGCCTTGCGTCCAATGATCGCCGCCGGTTTCTTCAAAATTATCAACATCAGGGCTAATCAGAGGGTTCGTTATCAGAATCCGCGATTTCACTAACACTCTTACAATCATATAAAACAACAGCAGCCTCCCGATGTTTATGATTTAGAAGAAACCGACGGCTATTTTTGGATGCAGGGTGGCTTTGGGAAAAGAGTGGAAGTTGGTGACTATTTTTTAGACAGAAGAAGTTCGAGGCAGATGGAATTAGACCTAAAATTGACGGTTTTTTAAAGAATCGGGCCCTTCGAAAAAAACAATTTATAGATATATAAATGTTCCAATTAACCTATCTCTTCAACATTTGGTTACTACACCATGATGCTCAAGCTCAAGCTCGATTAGATCCGCGTGCTCGGTATCCGAGATTCGATTCCACCTCGATCGAATATCGAACTCAAGCTCGACTCAACCAGAAAATCGCAATACCCATACATAACTCGGATCGAGCTCGGCTCGATCACGGCCGAGTCATAAGCGAGCTCGAGTTCGAGCTCATTACTGAACAGGAATTTGCTCGTTACCACCAGTCGAATCGATCTCTTCTCCACAAAAAATTAAAAAAAAAAGAAGAAGAAGAAGAGAAAACACTGCCAATCATAGTTTGCACGTGCGACTATAGTGCCGTATACCATAAGAAACAATAATTTAGATGCTTCACTTGATGTCTACAACGATGCCCATCTCGGGCTGCACATGAACTTTCCACCATGAACGTGGAAGAGACAAGAGATGCTTGAAATCTCTTGGCGATGATAAAATCTAAAACAATCAACAATCGATCCCTAAGAATATTGCTTACTACTCTCTCAAGTGCCCCGCGAGAGCCCCCACCACAATCACTTCCTCTTCGTCTTTTCATCCGCTGGAGAAGAAGAGAGAACACGAGGGCGACGATGCCGATGAAGACGACGAGGGCTGGTGGTAACCCCGATGGCTCTGCTGGAAACAGTCCAGCGACATCCTCGGCGGGGACATCGCCACGGTGACCGACGAAGCCGACTGCGTTCCCGAGTCCGGGGGCGATCCTGTTAATGCCGACAAGACGGAACCAATCAAAAAAGGGAGGAGATTGATCGTGTCCTCTAACCGAAAATTGCAGCATTTCTTTACAGAGCGGTGCAAAACAAACGGGGCGAGGTTTACAAATTGACTGATCCTTTGTGCAAAAGATGTTTTTGAGCCAGTATTCAATTTGAGGCATAGAAATCTTGATTGTATAATGTAAAGGCGACCGACATTTCGGTCGAAAGGATCTCATCTTCTCGATCCCTTTGAGACATAACGCGTCGCGGTCGCGAAGAGACTAACCGAGAATCTAGATTTAGCCGGCAAATTGAGAGGACCCAACTCTTGATTTCAAGCTGTTCATACGGCCAAAACTTATAGGGAAGACAATGCAAGGGGGCTGGGGAAAAACACTCACTTGCTGGGTTATCGCCGGAAGAGTTCCGGCCGCTCTCCTGCTGCGCCTTGGCCGGGTTCTCGCGGCTCGGCTGCTGCTGCTGCTGGTGGTGCGACTTCCGCCGGCGGCGGTTGTGGTCCGCCAGCCGTTTCCGGCAGCTGCGCTTCCCGTTGTCGAACTCCGCGAGGAGATGGAACCTGCACACGACACAGACAGATTCCTCGTCGCTTTGTACCCGCAAGACTCGAATCGAACCGGGGAAAATTCCAATAACGCAATTTCCTCTAGGGCTCGGCGAAAATCAGAAACGACAGAATTTTCCCCAATAATTATTTCCGCAATTCGAACTAATTTAACAAAAAACAAAAAAAAAAAAGGGACAAAAAAGACTTAATTTTTTTTTTTTAAGGAAAACGAGGTAATTATTAGTAAAACGGATGGTCGGGGGGAGTTTACTATATTAAGCAAGGGCAAAAAGGCCAGAGGACGAGACATTTCCGGACGCAAATGCCCCTCGGGATCTTCCCCCTCGTTTGTACGAGCGCAACGCTCCAATCATTTGCCGCTGCTGGAAGAAGCTTTTCCTCACCCCGACCCGGGGGGCATTCCCGTCTTTCCGCGTCGCCGGCGACCAGGTCACGTCGGTCATTACATGCTGCCGGTCGCGAACGGCTCCTCCATCCTTCGATCGTTTGACCGCTGTCGGTCCGCCCCCCCCCCCCCCCGCGGAAGTCAACTCAAGTCAACTCGACGACCCGAGAGCGATGGAGGGAAGCTAAGGAGTTCTTGTGGAGGAGCTTCGTGATTTTGTTTGTTCGTCGGGAACGGAACGTGATTGCTTTCGTGTGTTTCTTTGGATAAAGATCGATCCTTTATTGAGGGAAAGAGAGGGGGGAGGGGGAGGTTTTTACCTGCTGCACTGTTGGCAGAAACGCTGGGTCAGGCCGGCGGCGATGACGGCGGCGGCCTTGGAGTGGAACTCGCACACCTTGTGCCTCCGGTGGTAGTGCTTGGCGTGGGTCAGGTCGGCGTTGCACCCCTCGGCCTGGCAGCGGGGCGCGTTGGCGGCCGCCGACGAAGACCCGGCGGCCTCCCCGGCGGCCGACGAGCGCCGGTAGAGCCGGCTCACGAAGTCGTCCTCCGCCGCCACCGAGGACGCGAAGTACGTCCGGCCCCCCAGGTTCAGGCCTATCCTCGCCGCCGCCGCGGCGTCCTCGCTCTTCGGCACCATCAGGAACCCCCCGCCACCGCCGCCGCCGCCGCCGCCGAAGCAGTCGAGGGCGAAGGGGCTGGCGGGAGGCGGCGGGTACGGCGCGCCGAAGGCGCGGGGGTCGAAGAGGGGGTGGGCATTGTGGTTGTGCGGGGTGCTGTTGATGGGGCCTGCTTGTTGGTGATGGGGAGGAGCGAAGGACGGGAAGGCGTTGGCGGGGTTGGAGAGAATGTGAGCGCTGGCGCTGGCGTTGGGGAAGGACTGGTGGTGAGGCGAGACCGCGTATTGGTCGAGCATGGAGTGGTGGTGGTGGGGGTGGGGGTGGGCCTGGGTCGGGTCATGGGTCGGGTCGTCGGCGGAGATCAGAATCTGAGATGCGTTGGCGCCGAGACCCCACTCGTACTCCAGCATTATCGCGGCCGCCGCTCCTCCTCCTCCTCCTCCTCCTCCTCCTCCTTCTCGCGTGGAAGCTATCTCTGCTGACAAAAGAGAGAGAGAAGGAGCAAAACAAAAATGGAAACTTTAGGGACAAGGGCATCAGCTTTTAGGCCAAAATCATCATCATTGGAGGTTTACAGAAATTGAGGATAGTGTTGGGTTTGGCTTTGCGGGTGCGAGGATTGAGGCGAGTGTGGCTTTTGGGAACATGTCGGGGGTTTTTTGAGGATCCCTGGAAGCAACAAGGAAAAGGGCGAATTTTTTCTTTTTCAAGGGCGCTCTCATGGGAAGAGAGAGAGAGAGGGAGAGAGGGAGGGAGGGAGGGAGAGAGAGAGAGTTGCAGAATATATGAACCCGAACCCTAGCTTGCCATGTTGCAGAGCCTCGGCCCTCTCTGCGTCCTTCTCTTCTATGCACTCAAATGGCGTGTACCTTTAAGTCTGTCTCTGTCTGTCTCTCACACACACACACACACACACCCTCTCTTTCTCTCTCTCTCTCTCTCTACAGATCTTCTTTAACTCTTGTCTGTTGTCTCTCTGCTCTCTCTGCTCTCTCTCTCTCTCTCTAAGCTGGGTTTCAGTGTGTGAGTGAGAGTCTGAGCTGAGGAAAGAGAAGGAAAGTGGGGAACCGCGAGGGGTCAGCTTTCTCCTCCCCTCCCCCTCTTCCTTTCCCTCTTCATCCCGAGGTGGTGGAGTGTGTAAATTCATTTGAGGAAAGAGAGAGAGAGAGAGCAGCAGCAGCAGCAACAGGAGAGAGGAGGAGAGAGGAGGGAAGGGGGTGAGGTCGAGTACGGATGGAATGACGAGGATGCCCCCGCGAAAGCTACGTATTTACCTTGTGGGTGGGAGCCACCGGGTGGAATTCAGTGAAGGAAAGACAGGGCGCCAATAGACATGCGGCCCTACCGAGGAGATAAAGACGTAAATATTTCGGATGCAGGTTTCGACTCTCGCGCTCTGTAAGAGACAGCAAAAATAGTAACCAAGCAAAGCAGTAATTAAGTGGAGGGGGAGGTGGTTTCTTGCAATCTGGACTCGACCGGTTCAAACCGTCGAATCATGTGAATCTCTCGTGAGGCTCGATCGCGATCGCATCCGGGTCACGAATCCGACGAGGGCGGGGCCGCGGGGGGAATGACCGAGTGGGGCACTTTTGCCTCCGCCTCATTCAATGCGATCGGGCCCCACCCGCCCCTGGAGTTTCCCCATCGTGGGGCCCCCCTTCCACACAATTTGCAGCTTCGTTTCCCATATGTAAAACTTCCGTTTTTTGGGGCCTTCTTCTTTTTTTCACTTTACGGAAGTTTCACGCCCGTTGCGAAATATTTACCGTGCTAAGGAATCGAGACGACGAACATCGTAAGTTTACCCATCCCGACTCTATCATCCTCGATCCCGTTCGACCTCCGCACTCATTATAAGTCATGAGGTTTTTATTAGTGTTCAAAGTATGACATCGATTTGGCTGCGAATGAGAATTCGGATTGAAAACTATATCGGCAATTCCAATCGCAAGGTAAAGTGAATATGACTGGTTTTTCTTACGATATCGACTGTGCGACGACAATTTTGTACTCTCGTGTCGATCGTCCGATAAAATATGCATATGATTGTATTTTTCTCCCCGGTTCGACATTAGATCTAAATGATTAGTAAAGATGGCAAGGGCGCGATATGAATGCAAGTGCTTATTGCCAGTACACAGCTTGACATGAAATTTGTTAGTTTAAAAGTTGTAATTAGCATGAACTTTTAATACATCGTTACTAGTACTTATTCCATACATCTTATTCTAGAGTGAGATGAAAGAAATGGGAATTAGGTGAAAATTAGTTTTGATATGTCATGATTATACTTCGGTTGATACCGAGGTTTTAAATGTTCAATCTGAAGCGAAGACTCACCTTGACCATGTCCACCAACGCGTGGACCAGACAGCAGTAGTAACAAACAAACTGCTTCGAATCATTCTTGAGAAATCATCACCGAAATGCTTTACCTAAAATCGTAGCGGTATCTCAAGAAGATCCATATGGAAATTTTCCTTCTGGCATGGAGGCCTCGCAATCATCCGAGCCTTCATTATGTAGATGATATTCCTTCGTATAACGGTGATATTTCGGATTTCTCATTGTAAATTATGGTACCATTAAGAATAAATGCGCCAACTATCAGCCAAAGTACGCGTCAATGTGCTTCGAAATCATGGAGGAAGGAGGAGGCTGGGAAGAATTATCAGGAAGTGAATACTTTGGACATAAAGCGATGGAAATGCATGATAGATCTCGAAGAAAACAATCAAAATATGTATCATATATATATATATATATAGTTAAGAAATTGGAAAATCATAATTTTGACTTTAAGGTGGTTGGTCGGTTCCTTCAATTTTGTATCCTTCTAATCCCGCGAAAATCTCACGTCCCATCCTAATCATATGGACCAAACAAATCACAATCCAGTGGCTTAATGTGATTGATGAAAACATTCCAAATCGCAAGCGCAAAATTGGCAAAACATCATCACGTTTACCAACCAAGACTTTATGTGTCATGTCATATTCTACGGGACTTTCCGGTGGCGCCAACCAGTAAGGACTAAGGACCGTACTCCATGACTAGGAATTTATGGGAAATGGCTATCGAAAATCACTTTATAATAATATCTCGGCACCTTATTAAAAATCGTCACCATGTCCAACCCGAAAGTTTGAAAGAATAGGTGAAGGGGGATTACATGTATACGAAGAGTATATAAACTCCGTAAATAATTAACGTGGGATATTTTAACATCCTTCTCGCCGCACATATAAAATGAATCGAGATAGACTCTGATACCATGTTAGAATGTCAAATCCAGAAACTTAAGCCAATAGGTAGAGGGTGATCACATGTATATAAAGAGTGTATACACCCGTAGACAAGCGACGTCAAATACTTTAATATATCGTTATTTTTAAGCCGATAGGTGAAGGGAGACCACACGTACAAAAATAGCATATAAACCTCATTGGCAAGTGATGTGTAATGTTTCAACACCCCCTCTCACGTGTAAGCCGAATTAAAAGTGACACGTGAAATTTGATTAAAGAGAGTCATGTGAAATGGGCAGCATCTAACTATGATACCATATTAAAAAATCTAATCTAAAAACTTAAACTAATTGGTGAAGGGAGACTAATATGTATAACGGTAATGTTGATCATAGTAGTCGACTATATACGTTCACAAGCATCGGAAGAAACAAGAAAGGACACACGATGTGTATTTACTACAAGCACACACTAGTATAATTACTTACGATTAACACTAACCAGCATTACTTTGGTCATGTGACGATAAGAATTTCTTCTTTTGGTGCTTTATATTAGAGTCATTTGATGTGATGCTTACAAATCTTTCCAACACAAGAAATCTGACTTCCTCCATTCCTTGAAATATAATTGAAATAATTTTGTGGCGTTCAAAGTTAGATTATTTTCGGTAAAATATATATGTCGAGGGATAATCTTTTGACACGACATGTCATGACTCAGGAATACAACTTGATTCTAACACGGCATTAATGACTTCGAGTAAGTGTTACTCGAAATGTATAGCATATCAAAATGAACTCAATCCGAGCTACAAATCTGGACATGCACGTTGCTTAATGAGTGATTAGTTGGGAGATAAGAAAGATGGGTCTTTTTACTTAGGTTAACATTCTTGGGGAAAAGTATAAAAAAAGTTCTAAACCTTTTACATTAGTGCCAATTCAGCCATAAACCTTTTTTTTGTGCCAATTCAGTCCTAAAACTTTTGCATTTATGCCAATTTAGTCCTAAACCTTTTTTTAGTATCAATTCAGTCCTAAACCTTTTGTATTGATGCCAATTCAGTCCTAAATCTTTTTGTCTTTGTGGCAATTTAGTCCTTTTGGTCAATTTTGATCGGATTTTGCTGACATGGATGCCGGGAGGTCACCATCGCTAACGTTGACAACTTTTAATAATAGTTTAATTTTTTATTGAATTTTTATTTCTTTTATTTCTTTTTTTTTCCCTCCCCCCCTCCTTCCTCCAGCCGATTGCCAGACCGGCAACCCGCCAGAGGCCTGCGAGGTCGACCTCACCGGTCACTGGCGAGGCTCGCCCTCACCAGCGATGGCGAAGGTGAGCCTCGCCATGGCTGGGGGAGGTTGGACCTCGCCGGATTTGGCGAGGTCGTGCCTCGCCCAGCCACCGGCAAGGCTCGAGCCCTCGCCAGAGGCCGCGACGAAGGCCTCTGGCGAGGGCTCGAGCCTCGCCGACAGCTGGGCGAGGTCCGTCCTCGGCCAGCCATGGCGAGGCATGCCTTCGCCGTCATTGGCGAGGGCAAGCCTCGCCAAGGGCCGACAAGGTTGCGCCAATGGCCGACAAGGACCTCGCCGGGCTCTGGCCTTTGGCTGGTTGCTAGTCCGGCGACCGGCTGGAGGAAGGGAAAATAAATAAAAATTCAAAAAATTATTAAAATATTATTAATAGTTATCCACGTCAGCGCCGGTAATCGGCCGCCGATGTCCACGTCAGCAAAATTCGGCCAAAATTGGCCAGAATAACTGAATTGGCACAAAGACAAAAAGGTTTAGGACTGAATTGACACAAATACAAAAGGTAATTGGCACAAATGCAAAAGGTTTAGGATTGAATTGGCACTAAAAAAAGGTTTAGGACTAAATTGGCACAAATATAAAAGATTTAAAACTTTTTTGACACTTTTCCCACATTCTTGTGGCTGCATATTTCATGCTATGCTTTTTTTGTCTCGTACTCAATATGTTAACTGACACTAGAAAATCTACTACTCAATCAAAAAACCACCAAATAAGGCATTACACTTGCCAAATTCACACTCACATGTGTGTTTGCGTGCAATTTGACCAAATTAAGAAGGTCGCCTAGATTAAGAAAATGAGAAATGCCGAATCATTCGAATATGCGAGTTAGATAATCACGCATTAAGGACGATCTCATTTGTATAAATATGTCCTAAGAGGCTTTGAGGTGGTCGAAACTACGATAAAAGTCAAATTTGCAAACTCTACAATAAAAGTTAATTGACACTTAGTTATGACGACAATAACCGAAGTTATGGAATTGATGTTCACCCCATCTTAACATCCAATAATTTCGCCAATTCCAAATTGGTCTTGAAGATAATCTCTACCTATCATGCTTAGGAATCCCATGGAATGGTTTCTACCATATGTATCAGACATTGTTAAAGTATCACAGATCACTTTCTTACGGGGTTTATATGCCTTTTATATATATGTATTCTCCCTCCCTCTATTAGTTTAACATAGTTTCAGAGCCATGTCGTTTTTAATCCGGCTTGCAAGTGTGAATGAGTTTTAAAATATTCCAAATCACTTGCCCACAACAATTATATATATATATATATATTTGCGATCTACTTTCACATATTAATTTAAGCTTTTTAATTGGACATTTTAACTGACATTGACATGAGGAAGATGAAACATGAAATCTACAAGCTTCACAGTATAAAAATCAGACATTGTATCGATGCCCTCTATTGGCATTCGGGAGGAAGCAATGACAACCGTACGTATACGTCCCCTCAAAAAATGTACTCATATGGCAACATATTTATCGCGCCGGTTATCTTAGATTGAAATTATACTTATGTGTCTTAGAACTAATAATTAAAGTGGGACTAAACCAATAACTAAAATCTTAA